CTCGAGCCGTTCGCCGACCTCTCGGGCAGCCTCAGCAGCGTGGCGCCGACCAACGTGTCGTCGGACCTGCAGTCCAAGCTCGTGCTGCTGACGCTGGCGTTCCCGCGCCTGCGCGTCATCTGGAGCAGCTCGCCGTACCAGACGGCGGAGATTTTCGAGTCGCTCAAGACGCAGGAGGACGAGCCCGACCCCATCGCCGCCGTGCGCGCGGGCCTCGACCGCGACGCGCAGGCCGAGGACCAGAGCTTCAACCGCGAGCCGCAGGCCATGCTGGGCATCGTGCCGGGCGTGACGCCGCAGAACATCAAGAGCCTCGTGCTGGCGACGGACAATGTGCGCGAGGTGGCCAACATGAGCGAGGGCGAGCTCGCGCCGCTCGTCGGGCGGGAGGCGGGGCGCAAGATTTTCGGCTTCTTCCACCGGAATGTCGTGGAAGACTGAGTGCCCTGGGCGTCGATGGCTGGACTCGATGGCAACGAGAGCAACGAGAGCAACGAGATGATGGGGTGGGTTTTTACGTCTGTCAAATTCGGGCTATTCAGGCTACTCTCCAGTATAAAGGGAAGGCATAAAAGTTCAGCTGCGGAGCATGATACGATCAAGACTGTAGCGGGTCGAAGTCGGTCACGATTTTCAGTGACACCAGGAGAGATAGTATGAAAGGGTGCAGCGTTTTGAAGCCATTGCTGGCATTCGTGCAGGACGATGGGGCGAGGTGATGTACGGTACGTGCATGACTATTTGGCTTACTCGATACTACAATTGTCACATCCAAGGCTTCACGAGTAGTGCACGCATCCACTCGACATGCAGTGAGAATTGTCGGAACCAACGTGTGCATAGCGGGGCACATCCAGTGGCACCCTCCACTTCATGAGTGTATGGGCGTCATTTCACAGCAGAGGCAAAAAGCATAGGAACAAATATCACAGCAGAAAAGCATGGTAAAAGATGGGATTGCAGAACAAACTAGACTAGGCTAGGGGTATCGGTATGCAACCATCGCATCGCAAAAAAACAAGACAGGAAAAAAAACAAAACACCTGAAGACGTGGCAGCAGGGCAGACATGGCATTATACTGCCCCCCAAGACGGTCCTCCCACCGCAAAGCGTCCCTCAGAGTGACTCCTCAACCGGACTCCTCCGGACGCATCCTCGTGACTTCCCCCATCTGCCGAGGCCAGGCTGCAACGACGGCGTCCCACAGACACAGAGCGAACCGTCGTTGCTTTTCGTTCCGGACCTCGTTGCTTTGTCGGGCCAGAGAAAGGGGCGGCGCTAGACTCTGCTCCTCGTGCCGCCGCCGCGCCTGCGACCGCCACGGCCGCAGGTGAGGCACGAGATGATGATGTTGAAGAAGGAGACGATGCCGCCGATGATGGCGTGGAGGATGTTGCCGATGCCGGTGACGATGGCCGTGAGGCAGTTTCCGATGGTGCGGAAGACGGATTGGATCTTGGACCGTGTCAGTTCTGTTGTGCTGTGCTGCGTAACGCAGAGGGGAGGGCCGGGCTGGGCGAGGTGCAGCCAAGTGCCGGCAGTAGGGCGTGCCGGCTACAGGCCCACAGGGCTACGGGCCAAAGGGGGGGAGGGACTCACGCAAGAAACGACGGCACCCATGATGAGGTCAGGCGCTGTGGCGCAAATGTGTTTTATGTGTGTGGTAATGGGGGGAAGAGGTGATGATTTCTTTCCGCTGTCGGACTAGACACGGAGTCTGGCGGCGTTGATGTATTGGTAGTGGTGGTGGTAGTAGTGGTTGTTGTTCTTGTTGATGATGCTGAGAGCAACAGAAGGAAAGAAAGCCCGTCTTAAATACAGAGAGCAAAAGGTCAAAAAAGACTGGAAGACGGCCCAGCCGCTGGTCACACGGCCAGCCCAATCTCCTTTCTCCCACACCTTGACCTCACCGCACATCGAGCCCATGCCATGCAGACGCCCGGCCGGGTTCCTCCTGTCAGCGCCAGAAGGCACCAGCACCACGAACACATCACGCATCATGTCGCACGAGACATGCAGCGACAGATCGTGATGATGGATGGATCGCCGACGCCTGACGTCACGGCGCCACAGGAACGAGCCACATACAGCCTTGTGGGTAGCAGTCTGGACGCCCATCATTGGCCTGTCATCTCGACAAGCTCCACATCCGGAGCAGACGCACCGAGATGAAGTGTGGCGCCAGGGCCAGAACGCTCATTACGCCCAAAAATGCCCCAAAACGCGCTGCACATCCCCAACCAACGCACCTCAAATCAAACCTCGTCCGACCGGGGGAGGGGGACCAACCAGATGGCCCGTCAGCAGAGTCATGGCGCCCGTTTGGGGGGGAGGGGGGAGGGGGGCGTTTGGGGGAGGATCATGGGAGGAGGAGGAAGAAGAGGGAGGGGGGCCTGTCCTGGTCAGAAATCTCCCAAAAGCAGGTTCTTCCTTTCACTGTTTCGGCGGTGGGTCAGCCAGCCAGCAGCCAGCAGCCAGCAGCCAGCCACGGCCACAGCGTATCGCGGCATATGACATGGACGAGCCGCATACGTCACAGACTTTGTGGATGCAGCACCCTGGCTTCGGCCTTCGGAGGCGCCTCTTTGGGAATGCCATGTCGTCGTCGCTCCATTGTATTCGCCGCGGGTACCCAATATTCACCGCGGGAACACATGCGATGCGCTGAGGGTGACGAGAGTCCAGATGAGGATCGAATTCTCTCTCGCTCATGTTGATGGGTGGTGAAAATTGTTACTGTGTAATCACGCTATCATCAACTTTTAGACTA